AACAAATATTGTTGGCACTTTTCAAGTCTCTTTTTATAATATCTTAAACTGATAATTTCAATGAATTTTATCTATTTTTAATCGCTTCTTCTTTGCATATTTTATAGTTAGGTTTCACTATGTTCATAAATTGTTCAAACGCAGCACTTGAGCAAAATGATATAGGCATTTGATTCAAGGCTATCATATTAGCTAGTGCCTGATGTATACGTTCCGTTTCTTCTTAATTACAAAATTCTTCATTTTCTCTATTGGTATAAGTCCGACGACGTTTTCTAGGTTATGACTGTTATCACTAATTTTTGATTCAGAAGTGCTTTGAGTTGTGGTGGATATATTTAAAAATATAAATAATAAACGTTGTGTAAAATTATAAAATTAGGCCAATATTTCTAAGGGGTATCACTTTTTTCCCTAAAAACACTAAAAATCAATTTAATTTTGAAGAAATGGTAGACTAAAAAATCTATAGTACGGCCAACGAAAAGTGAGTCGCGATATCAATGCTCCTGGTGGTCGAATTTAATCAGGACTTCTACAATTATTGCGATTACGCTTAAATACACCGCTTGGAACGTAACGGTCACGGCTCACTTTTCGCTGATCGTACTATAACAGTTTTTCTTCTGTTTGGGTTCGTCTTTCGTCATTATCTGCCATTTTGACCATAGCATCGGCCATTCCTTTGTTGCTTTCAGCTATAGTACTTGAGGTACTAGTTATCAACTAAGACATTTCAGAGTGATCAATTAATTCAACTATTTAGTATAATTAATATATTAAATATTCACCTCCATTTGTTGACTGTTCATGTTTGCCAAATTTGTAAATACTTCACGTGCTGGATTAAATTGCGTGTTAAGTTTAACATATTTATTAATTAAACAAAATAAATTAATACAATATTAGATAGGTAAATAATTTCATATGAGTAATTCTCAAGTACTTACTTTTTTTTTTTACATTAGTAATTGGTTGGTTTTTGAATTGATAACGTGAAGCTGCCTCAGTTGGCACAGGAATAACATCTATAAAGTTGTTTTAATTATCCATGTTGAGGGTGGTATCTTCTATTATTTCAATATTGCCACATATTTTATCATCATTCTACAAGTAATTTAAATTATTTATGACCAAAAAATACATATACATATTATTAACAAATTAATGAAAATAAAATAGATATTTCCATGGTAACACAATACTATGTTCATAAATAAATATGTTAAGCATATTTTCTAAAAAGAATGTTTTTTTTTTTTTATTAGAATAGGAATAACTAACTATATATTTCTTTAGAGATTGTAGTAGGTACTACATTTAAAATGTTAGTATTAACTTTAGACAACTCTCCAATACTATCAGGCTGAAAACAATTTTAATAATTTTAAAATGATAGTTGACTTAAGAACACTCAAAAGCAACAAATCAATTGACAAACCAGTCTTCTGGAAACGAATCAGGACATTCTGTTCCCTCAATGTATTCATGGCAAACTAGTCCTAGGTTTAACATTTTAGGTTTTACGATTTAACATCTTTTTCTTTAACACTGGGGTTACGGAGATCATTTAATAATGACACTAAATCATCCCATGGGCCATGACCCATCTATACTGTTTTTACCATTTACGGTGCAAAATTTACCAGTTGCCACATGTGAGTTTTGCACCATATAATCAACCATAAACTGAAGTTGTTGATCATTCCTCCTTCCTTGTCTAGACATTTTTAAACAAGCCTCTTGATTTTGAGGATCACTATGATAATTTAAATTAATTCAAATATTAATAAATAATATAAATTAATCCCAGATAATGTATAAAAAAAATAAATTATTTTTATGAAAAATAAAAATACCTAGGTAGTAGATTATTTATTTTAGATTATTTTATTTATATTTATAAGTACTTACAAAGTAGTAGCAACCATCTTCATAATTATAATATCACAGTTCAAAGATTATATACAATTTATTATATTAATATAATATAATTTGATATTGTATTTACTAGGATGTATATATCAATTTTGATTTTTGAATTAAGTTTTTAAATAACAAGTAAACGGTAAACATATTTTCATACACGAGTAGGGGAGACTCTGGTAAAGCAGATAGCTGGGCAAAGTGAATAATGTTAATAACTTTTTGAATATCAGTGATTAAATAATACCGAGGTTATAAGTTGGCAGCACTGTCCATCGTCAATTCCGGGATAATGATTTGATATCACTCACTAGTGTACAATCACCATAAAAACGTTTATCCGAAATTAGTTCGATTTCTTAAAAAAATACAAGGTAAGAATATAAGCTTTTTTAAATAATGTTTGTAAATTAACTTTTTTAAACGTATTTTATTATGTTCATAATTATACTAAGTTTATATAGTTATCAAACACGAGTTCCTTAATCGTGTATACTAAAAAAAAAAAATGTATTTAAGAAAAAATCAATCCGGGCAAAGTGAATAGGGCAAAGTGGATATATCCACTTTGCCCATATACTCATATAAATGTTTCAAGCGCATATAATATTATTTTATTTTATTTAGATGGTGTCTAAATATAAAAGAAAAACAAACCAGGATAGTTGATCGGAAGAAAATTTAAATATGGCAATCTATGAATGTAGGAATGGTACAAAGATATCAACTGCTGCATCTTTGTATAATATTCCGTTTACAACATTATACAGACGACTTAAGTCGGGCCGAAATGATAAACAACTGGGACGATTTCGACCTATATTTTCAATTACACATGAGAAAGAACTTGTTGAATATTTAAAAGAAATGGATGCAGTGTTTTATGAGCTAACTAGGTATGATTTTAAAAATCTTGTGTATTCATTATAACCTCACAAAATCCAACCACTGGATGTTTCTGTGTTTGGGCCAATAAAACGGTTTTCTGAACAAGAAATAAATATTTTTAAAAAAAATTACTCTAGCAGCATTATAAATCAATATGATGTAGCAAAAATTTTCAGTCCTGCCTACTTAAAGGAGCTACACCTCATAATGCAGTAAGTGGATTCAAATGAACTGGTATATGGCCTTTTAATCCTAGAATTTTTGGTGATGAAGAATTTGCACCTGCATCAGTGACTGACAGACCACTTGAAAATTCAGTAGTCACCCCTACATCAGAAGTTAACAAAGTACCTTCACCAAAAGCAAATAATTTAGAATCTTATTTAGTTCATACATTAGATACATATCAATTAGAAACTATGGTTGCTACAACATCATCAATACCACAACAGCCAATTAAAAATTGTACCAAAGTTTCACCTACAGATATTCGACCTACACCAAAAATTGATATGATGAAAATGTCAACTAGAAAAAGGAAGACCCAGAGAGCAGAAGTCTTAACTACAACACCAGTGAAAAATATTCAGTTAGAAAAAATGAAAAAAGCAGAGAGAACAATTATAAATACTGTAGCTAAACGCCCAACAAGAAAATCGGTCAGAAAATCTTTAAACTTTAATCAACTAAAAAAAAAGCATCAGAGGACTCCACTCAATATTTGTGTCCCATATATGTTTAGAAAAATATGTATGTGGACCTGGAGGAAAACCAGTTGAAAATTGAATACAGTGTTTCATTTGTGAAAAGTGGTATCACGAGGATTGTCCATCATACTTAGGGAAAGGGCATTTTGTGTGTGACTTTTGTGAAGACACCAATAATAGTTCCTAAATAAACAATGTGACTTATACCTAACTATGAGAATTTAAAAATTGTTTTATTAATTTAATTTTGTTTTTATTATTATATAAAAAGGTTATTTTTTATTTTGTTTTTATTATTATATAAAAGGTTATTGTTTATTTTATTTTTATTATTATATAAAAAGATTATTTTTTATTTTGTTTTTATTTTACTAAGAAGAATTTTATATTTTATGTTTTCTTTATGATTCTGAAGATTGTTATTTAAAAATTTTGTTTTTTTTATTTTCAGTTAATTCATTAATATGTATTAATTTTTAAAATATAATTATCGCCCTGCGATTGGTTAAGATTGTATTTCATCCATGATAATTATTGTTAGTAATTGGCTCCTTATCAACATGATGGCATAACGTTATGTAAGCGCTAAATACCGATAAAGCAATTTACAGAATCACCTAATCGATTAGAAATTTCGATAGTACCTTATCGATAACACTTATCGAATTAATTCGTTATTACAGTATCGAGTTACAGAATCGAGATGCTGTGGAATCTATTCTCTCAGTAAATTATGAAGTTAATTCTATCTCACCTAACGTAGCTACATAAGGAAAAAGAAAATTAGAACGTACCTTAAATCCACCTGTCATTATTTAGAATTTTAACCAGTTTATTTGGTATGCCACCACGAAACCTATTAAGTTGGCATGCGAAGTAACACTCCTTAATACATTATCCGAACAGCAATTTAATGTCGTGGCTATCAATAGCCCTAATTCAGTATTACCAGATCTCCATCGTTGGTTAGAGAAAGTATTAATACAGTTGAAATATTATCGATCAAGTGTCTACTATTAGCTCCAAAATTGAAAGGAACCTAATAGAAACTTGGCTGACTATTGGAAAATATGGGAGATGACCTTATTAGCAGGTTAATTACCTGCGTCCTGTTAACCTTTTCCCTGCCAAGCACTTTAAAATTATATACCACTGCCAGGCCAAGCTTTTTTTTTTTTTGAATTTTCATTTTTTTTTTATTATATTTAATGAATTCCTTGAATCAATAATAATCAGCAAAAAAAAAAATTAATTGGTTAATTTCCTAATTAGTTGTAAGTATTTTTTAATTGATCAGCCATTGGTTCTCAACATTTATCGTTAATTGGTAATTAATAACGCATATATTATAAATTGCAAAAATTAATTATTTATTAAAAAAAAAAAAAAATACATGGATTAGAATTAAAACACTACATGTAATTATACTTAAGTATTATACTAGGTACAGTCTATAATTAAATATAAAAAAAATAGTAGTCAACATTTTGTTGTATGGTATATACTAAAACAAGGTGCTGCGCATAAGCCCACATCACATTCTGTACACATATATCTAGTGTCAGTTCTCTTATTATTCTTCTTGCATAGTTGGCATCTTCTTCTGGCAAGCCTTCCAGATTGTGTTGCTGGAACTTCTGATGGAAAATGCCTATCAATTAGTTTTGATGGTTGGTCTTTAGTTGGTGGTCTTGATTTTGTTAAACGATTGGTATGATATTTTTCTATTATTTGTCTTATTAGTTCTATTTGAAACTGAGCTATTGGTATATGGTTTCCAGTAACTGTTTTATATGATGAGTAAGCATTTAACAATGATAAATCTATCAAATGGAAAAATATTTTTTTGTACCATTTTATTGTTTTTCTTACACACTCTACACTACTTAGTAACATATCAGTTTTATCTACAGATCCCATATTTTCGTTGTATTCTTTAACACATTTAGGTTTCATTGTTATTTTACCATGTTTTTGAATTGGTAACTGTTCATCTTCATGTATTGTGGTAAGCATATGCACCTCTCTCCGGTCCATCCATTTTATTGTTAACATTTTTCCAGTATGTTTACTTTCAGTTTGACCTGGTTGAAATTTAGTTTTTTTAAATGGTGGCATTCCTCGACGATTGCATCTTACAGTTCCACAAGTATTGGTCTTTTTTTTATGCAAGTACATTGATAATATTGGTGATGTATACCAGTTGTCAGTATATAAAGTATGACCTTTATTCAAATATCTTTTCATCAATGTTTTTACAACAGCACCTGATTGCCCTAAGTTAGCATCACATGAAACAAGACGTGTAGTTTTTCCTGTGTATATTATAAAATCTAAAATATAGTCTGTTTCTACATCACATAAAATAAAAAATTTGACTCCAAACCGATGACGTTTAGTCCTTATGAATTGATTAAATGAATGTCTTCCTTTCCATAACACCAAACTCTCATCTATAACCAGATTTTGAAATGGCACCATAGCAGATCTGAAATTATTCTTTATGTCTTGTAATACCATATCAATTTTGAATAAGCGGTCATTTTTGATTTGATTGTTATTATTACAAAAATGAATGTAACGTAAAAGTAATTGAAACCGATTTCTACTCATGGTTTTTCCAAAAATAGGAGAATAAAGTAGTGGATCTGTAGACCAATAATCTGCAATTTCAAGTTTTTTATTTCTGGCCATAAGCATTTGTATTGAAATGAATAAATATAACTCTTCTGATGTAGTGTCATACCAACTTGTATCACGAGATGACATAACATTATTTTGCCTAAAGTATTCATTTGTTTCATAAGCAACTTTGCCCAATAAAAATGGAGTCACAAGAGCTTCAAAAAAATCTAAAATAGTAGAGTTACTGTTCAGTTCAAACTCTTTTTGAATACCACTTTTAGCAGAACAAAACTGGTGAACCTTAGGTTGAAATGGTGTACCAGATTTCCATTTAAAATTTGGAATAAACATGTCTTTGTTAATTTTTTGAGGTACAATTACTTTTGGTTGATGTGTTGGAAATGAAACTTCAGTTTCTTCTTCATTATCAGATTGTACAATTTCTTCTTCATCATCAAAAACTACTTTAAAATACATAGTACAAATAAATAAACAATTTACAGCATATATCAACATGGTATACCTTATACGATATGTTATCATGAACTTATGTATAGCAATTGTTCATAACCGTATACAAAATAATACAATACATAAGTTTATAGGATATATATTTTATATAATATGTACTATAACGATTTAATAATAATAATTACCGAATAAATCACTAATAAATTCGTCGTCTGACTCCTCATTTGCTATAATTTCATCCAAACTTGCCAATATACTTTCATCACTCATAATATGTGACATGATAGAACTAGGTAGAATAATACCGACAACAAAAACACAAGTATAACAAAAATGAATACAAACGTAGTCACTTATGTGTACAGTAAATACTAAATACGTGATGACTGATGAACGTTTAAAAATTCAAAACATCAAATATTGATAACAAATTATCAAAACATAACAACTGATAACAATATTTTGGGAAACCTGGGACATTAGAAAATATTAGATTGCATGCACAGATATATATAATAACTAGATACCCGACTCCATATACCACAACGTTATTAAATTATGATGCCCTACGCCATTTGTGACTATGGCAATGTTTACAAATTTTTATCATTTTTTAATCGTTTTGATATCATACATTGTGATACAATTGATACAAATATTTCATAACAATATACTCATAATATAATTATTTTTTAATAAAATTAATANATTCTTATACAGTTATACATAATTATACCATAATTGATGGATGAACCAGTTAAGTTCAACTCATTTTACATTGTACGATTTACTGTAAGCCTAAAAATATAAGTTTAAATCAAAGAATCATTGAATATGAATAATGGAATTGACTGTAAGCTGCCTATTTCAAAATGTGGTAATAATAACTGATTAGCAAACAAAATCAATTTTGTCAGTTTTTGACGTTTACTAACTGCAAAAATGTTTGAAGTGGTTTTTCCCAATGATTTAAGCCTAACACTCAGGTACTTTTTTGTTAATAAACTAATAATTATCATCTTATGAGGTCTTTCCAAAATACTTATATTAGTGCAATCTAATTCTTTTAATATAGTTTGATCCAGAGAAAATTTATTATTACAGTAATGAATAATTTTTTCATCTTACTTAGAAATATTAAGGGATTAACCTAACTCCATTTGTTGAATGTCGATTCGTGCAAAAATGTACACAACATGACATCACCATCTTAAATTAATAATATTATACAAATGTCAAATACCTACAATAATCGTCGAAAAAGGGTCAGTACTCAGTAGTCAGTAAGTTGGGCAACAGACTTGTTTGATATGAACTATTGTTATCATTGTAAACATTGCCATAGTTGTAAATGGCTGCCAGCGTCATTGATAAGAAGAAGTCGGGTATCTAGTTATTATATATATCTGTGATTGCATGTAACTTCTTTGATAAGAACAGTACCATGTTTTTTTTTACGTAGTTCAATTCGTCTTTGAAAATACTACAATTTAGCAGTTATCAATTTTTCTATCAGATTATCTGATAACATTATAAACGAGTGAACGCACATGTGCGTCAATGGAAGTGAAAGGGTTAACAAAAAGCCAATTTTGAGCTCTTTATGCATTGCGTTGAGCCTCAGCATTCATGGCATTACAAGTATCATATGGCGTCATCGTCAAATAAGACAGGATTATACGCATACTTGTGGTGTATGTTTCGTCAGACATAGACCTTCCAGGCAAGAAAAATATCTCTAACGCAGTGCAATAACATCAGTGATGCTAGGCACACTCTGATATCCTATGTCCAATCTAACTTTAGGAAATATACATGCTATAACTATTAAAGATCTAACCCTATCATTATCGAACTTGTTAATTAGACTTATTAACTGTGAGCCTGCTGATACTTGATTTGTTGAAATTTTACTCTCTACGCCAATCTGTGTGCCTATCATGGACGTCTGCTGTGCTGTACTGTAACAGGAACGACTTCGATATCCTTCTTAATCAACCCGAAGAGATCTCCGAACAACTACTTCTTTCAAGCTCCAATAATATGCCAAGAGACTGTCTTCTGTCTAGAAAATACACTTTCCCGTTTTTTTCCTCAAGGGACGAATAACGCTTCAATGTATAATACTCAGGAGTCACGCCCTCAGCCTTTCATTGTATTCAGATAATGGTATTACCCCTACTCCCATGTGGCTAAGGCAGCATTAATAATTGCATATTCAATGGTTCCGTCAAAACAGTTAGTAATCTGGGTTCCGCCTATACCATCAACAACAGTAGTGGTGAGAGCAAGATCTCTAACCTCTTTTGGTAGCATAGTATGCTGTGTATTATATATTCTCTGTGAATTTATGGCTCTTCTTATCTCTATAGTTGGTAAACCATCCAAAGTATAAGCAACTCCGGCGTCATAATCCTCAGTCCTTACATTGCTACCAATCCAGTGGCGAAATTATAAATGTTTTATGAGAGGGGATATGAATATTTTGTAACCATAAAACAGTGTAGGGCTTCGCCCCCCACACAACCTTTCGATCTTACCACTAATTTACTTTTCAACATGATGCATTTTAAAATTAAATGATATTAAACAAATCATTTTTTTTAATATATATTTATTACATTATATTATTAACAAATTAAGATTATATCATTATAACAAAATTTCCAATTTTTTTGGTTTTCGCGCCAATATGTCAAGTATTTTATCATGTTCCACTTCAATATCATTATGAATGGCCAACAACGATAGACCATTTAGACGATCCTATAAATGAATTAATGAATAACATAATAATATTATAGTAAATATTGAATTTTAGTTTCAAATAATTTATCAACTCTGTCATACTATTTCTAAGGTATGTATTAATTCTCTTTAAACTTGAGAATGTTCTTTCAGGTGTTGAAGTAGAAACAGGGAGTGTGCATACAATTTTTAATAAAAAATGTCTATTGGGGTAAATATCCACGTTACACAGTTTAAAAGCTTCAATTCCGGTTTTAGGATTGATATCTGGTTGTTTTAATTGTCTTAATTTTCTACTGCACATTTTAAGTTCAGCTAATGAATTAACTACATCCAGTTTTGCAGAATAGAAATTGATTAATTTCTTGAATGATATTTCATCAGTAGATGAAATTTCAGCAGAAAACAGACATTGAAATCCTAAAAAAAGTATTTTAATACCCAGTAATTTACCTTAAATTTAAAATACTAACCTTCAAAAATTTCTGAATGGGACAGAAAACGTTCCTGTAATTGGTTAATAAAATAATCCAAGTATGGTATGAACACTGTAACTTTGTAAAAATCTTCTATATTTAAGTGTGTACTTGGATTTGGTCGATGCTTTTGTCTATTTGTTATTCGTTTCCCGCACATTTCAATTCCAACAACTTCTGACATTTTCCTATTCAATTATAATAAATAAATAAATAAATAATGTATATATTAATGTTATAAATATTACATTACAATTTTTAGAAAATGATATTTTACAATACATAATATAAATGAATTATAAACCAATAGGCTTACTTTGCTTCCAAAAATAATTTATTAAATTCACTATCACAATTCCGTCAAATTTCTTCCAGACTACCAATAATATCTTTTGCAAGAGACACTGCTAATTTTAAGTCCATTTGTTCTTTTTGAAGTAATTTGCATAATGGCAAACCAAATGAAAAAACCAGCTAGAAATAATTTAACAAATTATATTTAATAAAAAGGTTAGTTAATGGTGGTTATAATTGTTTTATATTACTTTTGCATTTTGTAGAGATATAAGAAACTCAGTATCAATTTATTTTAATAACAATGATGCATTAGTAGCTATAGTATCATTCCAATCTTTAATAACATCTAATGAATCCATTACATATGAAAAAAGTTGTATAAAATCTGATATAGCATCATAACGTTGACAAATCTTGTTGCACACAGTCTTTTCAATGTTTTGAATTTAGGCTCTTCATCACTTTTTTCAATACAATTCAAAAGTACAGTGTTTCCTTAGGAGTATTAAAAAACACATAGAACTTTTCAATTATTCCTAAACAATTTCTTATTGATTGAATTTCACTTGCACTTGAAAAAGCCAAGTTAAGTGAATGCGTTGCACAATGCACGTATATGACATAGGGGTATTGCTCTTTAATAATTGATTAAACACCTTTATATTGGCCAGACATGTTGCTAGCGCTATCATATCCTTGGCCAAATAAGAAGTCACAATTTATACCACAGCTTATTAAACCTATAAATATAAATGAATAGTAATAATAATTTTCAGTGAATGACTTACTAAATACTAGTAACCTTTTTTTACTTTATTACGGACCATTTATTATCGACTTAGCAAGATTACAACCAGTTAAACTGTTTACTGTAATGAATTTTAAAAAACTATCATCAACATAACCAAGACATAGAGCCATTTGTTCTTTTGTGCAAATGTCAGTAGTTTCATCTACTAAAACTGAAAGACACCCAGACTCATTTACACGTTTGACAATATTGTTTAAAATAACATCTCCACATGCAACAATAATTTCATTTTGAATCTGAGGTGTAATATATTTGTTTCTTCCTTCATGTGTAAGGATCTGTTTTAAATATTCATCACCTTTTGCCCTATACTTTAATATAGCTCTAAAATTGCCTTGATTCAAAGAACTTTCAACTAAAAATAAAAGAAGAAAACAATTAAAAAATTAAATTAAATAAATAAACACATGTTGAAACCTACAGTCAATTTTTCGAGAATCAGTATGTCCAAGCATAGCTATTTCTTGTCGGCCATAGAGTATTACACATCTATAATTGGAATGAGCCACTGCCTAATATTTTTGATTTTTTGTACTCTTTAAAATATGATAATGAGAAATACACATTCATACATTTATTTAATGCTTTTCAGTACTAATTAAACAGAATCTTTTCAATATAACAGTAATTTATAAATTTAAAATATTGTTTTACCTATCTGAATCAATGCGTTCTACTATTGTAGGCACTTTCTTTAAGTAAATTCTTAGAAACTCATCAGATTTTAGGATAGAAAGAGTGTGATATTCCAGTACAGAATGAGCACGAAACACATGTCAATTTAAAATATGAGATTTTAAAAACTGCATAACTAATTATTTATAAGTGATTTATCAGTAGGTACACTATGTAGTAATTTGTGTTTTGTAAAACAACAACAGTATATAAATACAGCACATGGGGGATCTATCCCCCATATCCACCCCCCCCTCCCCCCCGTAATTACATCC